GTGTGAATGTTTAGCTGATCACCTTCATTAGCATTTGAAGGCCTGCCTGAGCCTGGGAAAATCTGTTGCTGGGAGGTGTTAATCTGTGCCTGGTTTTTTCCTCTCTGTTGTTTAGCTGTTATAATTTTAGAGTTTTTTAATACTGGTAGCCAGATTTTGTTCATTTTCATGGTATTTTCCTTTCTGTTGAAATTGTGCACCTACTTGTGGATTTTAATGGCTTCTCTGTGTAACCTGAAATTGTAGTTTTTAGAGTGGTCCAGCATTGCTGTGTTCTCAAATTTGTGTGTTCCCTGACAGTAACAAGGCACACCTAAAAACTGCCAGGCCATCAAATGCTAATCAAAGTGGCCAATTGAGACATTCACACCTGGATCCAACAGACAAGAGTTCTTTATCCCACCCTGGATATTCCACAGATATATAACCGATCTGTATGACTGTCGGTCCACCAGCTGCATGCGTATTACAATGGTGAGATCCTGCGCAGAGGTTCGCATGGAGAACGGATAGTCCTGGTCCATTTGTCCGTATTGGACTGAGTACGGATATGCAGTTTGTGTTTGGATGCTATTTCTTGGTGGGGCTTTTGTAGTTATCTTGCTGTCTGTTGATCTATGTTGTTCGTTTCCTCATCGCTTCTCCTTCTCTCTTGCGGTCAGTGGTTCCTCTTGATGTATGGCAGGAACACTTTTCCTCTGGGTGGATCTTCATCTTTACTCTCGTGGCTTATTCTTGGTCTTGCAGCTCTTCTGATGTCTGAGGTGGAGTATCCATTGGCCTGGAGAGCCCAGATGAGGTGGTTCAGTTCATCTTGGAGGAGGTGGGGTTCGCAGATTCTTTTTGCACGGTCTGCCAAGGCTTTAATGGTGCTTCTTTTTTGACTTGGGTGATGGTTGGAGTTTTTATGTAGATATCTATCTGTATGTGTGGGTTTTCTGTAAACGGTGTGACCCAATTGTTGATCTGGTTTGCGGATGACTAGGACATCTAGAAAAGGCAGTCTTCCTTCATTTTCTTTTTTCCATGGTGAACTGGATGTTTGGGTGGATGCTGTTAAGATGGTCCAGGAACCTGTTGAGTTCTTCTTCTCCATGGCTCCAAATGGTGAAGGTGTCATCCACATATCTGAACCATATCAGTGGGCTTTTTGGTTGCTGTTTCCAGGGCTTGTTTTCAGTGGCCATAGTGTGTTTTCATATTGGGTATGAAGTAAGTCTTGATTGTACCACGGGGCCATGACTATAGAAGAGGCAGGTACTGTCCACTAGCTCTAAAAAAGATCGCCACATGCTTTCCGAAAGATTTACATCCTGACTTAATTAATTATTATTTCCTTGAAAAACACAACCAAGATGAGTCCACACACAGACTGATGATGATGCTGATGAATGATGATTAAATTGTCTTAATTTACTTATTATTATTGATTTGTGACATTTAGGTATTTTTTTTCACTCTATTATTATTATGAGTTTATCATTTTACTCATGATTATCAGACCGCTTCAACAGGTCCAAGGATCTAACTAGCTAAGTATGACTAATACCACATTTCTGAGACAAATAACAATACGGATATAAAATTACAAATCATTGCTATGTCAACCTTGAATAGGGACAGTGATCACAAGCTTTGGCCGCTTGGCACCGCAAGCCTGGAAGGCGCTCGTCCATGGTAGTTGCTGCAAGGAAAAGGAAAGGAAAGGACAAGTCTCCATTGTAGGACCATCCTGTGAGGCAGAGGGCTTCCGCTCAGGTGGCATCTGTCCGTAAGTGGTCTACTGTGGTTTGTTCTTTCATCCCACGCCGAGGTCAGGCGACGTCACCACATGTGAAAGGCCCCACCATTCATCTTAAAGATGTTGGGACTGCTGTATAGATCGTCTGGGTGCCAGAGTGGAGGGTCTGGTTCCAAGACGCCTACTTTCCTGTGTGGCTGGCGAAACGGGCCTTGGAAGCGGTTTCGGATCCTTCAGTCCTCAGCACAACATGATTCTTGAGATCCGTCCAGTGGTTTTAGCCTCTGCTCTACTTGGGAGACATTCCTTGCACTTGGCCTGAAGGTCGCTGTTCTACACCCTTGTGAGTAGTACAGTTGTAGTAGATCTTAGGACTGAAGTTCATCCTATCGATCCTTTAGCACAGCATTTGGTAGTGCTGACTTGATACCAAACAAAACCGCGCGCGGAGGTGGTGATGGCAAAGAGAAGTCAAAGTTAGTCATCGTTGATTTATGGATGATCCCACTCTCTTCATGTAGTTCTATGCATTGCTAGCTTATCCTGAGAACTGAGAACATGAGAATTTCCCTGACGGATGTCTGGTGGTGCAATACCGACTAAACAGTGTAATTTATCCAGTGGTGTAGGGCACAGACACCCTGTGATAATGCGGCATGTCTCATTAAGAGCCACATCCACTATTTTATCATGGTGAGATGTATTCCACACTGGGCATGCGTATTCAGCAGCAGAGTAGTAAAGTACAAGGGCAGATGTCTTCACTGTGTCTAGTTGTGATCCCCAGGTTGTGCCAGTCAGCTTCTGTATGGTATTATTTCAAACACCCACTTTTTGCTTGATAGTCATGCAGTGCTTCTTGGAAGTCAGAGCATGGTCCTGGGTAACTCCCAAGTACTTGGGTGTGCTGCAATGCTCCAGTGGGATTTCTTCCCAGGCAATCCTCAGAGATGCTTGTCTGTCTGTGCTGGTACGGCTGTACCAGGAGCTCCAACTTCCTTTTCTTTCTTTGAGTGTTTGCATGTATCCCAATGTTCCATGCATATTGCAATAAGGTGGCTTCCCTTCGTTTGCAGTCATGAGGCTAGCTACCTGCCTATCTTTGCTGGGTTTTTTTAAGTTCCGCCCCTTTCCCCAGGGTTCAGGAGGGAAAGGGAGCCATTTTGGCTCAGTCTTACAGTTGAAAGCTCAGCTACAGGATGTGAATCAGCTCCACCTGTAGAGAATCTTTGTTTCTTACGAAATTCCAGGGGAAAACAGTTCCAAAGGACTCCAGCTGGAGAATCTACAAAGCCTTGACTGGTAGGTCTACTCGGGACCCAAGAAGCACTTTGGAGCCAGGAGTAGGGCCCACACCAGCAAAGTTTAGAAAGTAGGTTGCCCAAGGAGGGGTTAAAAAGGGTTTTCCTCTTAAGGAAAAGAAACAGTTCATGAAGCCAGTTGCCTGTCCCTTGTGGACAAGATTAAGAAAGCCATCAGTCGATTCAAAGCCTTGAAGCATTGGTTTGATTTGTTGAAGATCTGAGAAGTATTTGATTGTTTTGTTGAAGACTTAAGCAATAATAAAGGACCTTGTTAAACTTTTCAAGCTTCTAAAGACTTTGTATAGGAAAATCCTTAGGGCCTCTCAACTGAGGCACCCCGGCTTCCCGCTGGGCACAAAGAGCACGTCCTGTTCAAAAGCCAACTGCTATAGGCCCAGCGCATGACAGCACACTGTTCTTAAGATGAAAAGCACATGTCTACATTTTAGATGGATTAGGAATCAGCTGGTTTTCCCTGTAAGAGGCTGTAAGAGCACCTAGAGCTTTGGAGAGCTCCTGTTCAACCATTATTATTATTATTATTATTATTATTATTATTATTATTATTAAACTTTATTTGTAGCCTGCTAGCATCACCCGAAGGACTCAATGCGGCTTACAAAGGCCAAGGCCTCAACACAACAACAGCATAACAAATACAACTCAAAGCAAAATCAAAAATATAAAGCAATAACAACAAAACATTACACCATAACACAGTAAAAACTAGGGCCGGGCCAAGTAATGGGTACAGAGTTAAAAAGTGCTGGGTGTGACAGGTGGTATGTTGGATTTCAGGGCAAGTGCAATGTGCAGAGAATCTTAAAACTCTAATAAAGTGCTTCTGGGACATAATGCTGGAGTTTTCCTATTCCGGAAAGGCACATCGGAATAACCATCTCAGAGCTCCCAGCTTGAGCGGTGATGGCACGATCATCAGCATAGATGAAACTCTCTGTTTCTTCTGGCAGTGGCTGAACATTTGTGTGAATGTTAAACATTGATGGAGCGAGCATGCATCTGATAAGTGATTTCACCTCTATTTTTGAAACACGGATGCTGAGCCTTTCGTCTTTCTGACCACCCATGGTTCATGTTATTCAGTCAGCACAGAGAGTTCACATTCCCCACCTTAATTTTCAGTGGGCACTGAATGTGCAACAGGAATCCTCTTATGGTACGAGGCCCCTTTCCCACTACGACTGCACCGTCTCTTAAGAAAGCTATGCAGTTGGGATGGCTGATGTTCTCGGCACACCTTTGGAGCCATTCCAAGATGACCTTATGGCGCACAGACGGGGTCCGTCCATTGACCAGCCAAGACCAGTGTAACAGCACAACTGAACTTTTGCAGAGGAAATCAGAGTCCAATGATGGGCAACCTTTTGAGCTTGGTGTGTCAATACTCAACAAAAAACCGAGCATAACTCGAGTGGGGTGTCACTTCGAGAAAAACCCCATAATTTCATGATATTTATAGTTTAATAACAAAAATATATTATTGTAATATATAACTGTATTTAATAAACCAAAAACTAATTATTTAACTTACCTGCTTTTTCTATAATGCCATGTATCTCAGCATTATAGAAAAATGCTGGTGTAGGAGCCGAGGATGAAATGTCCTTCTTGGGATGCGGCCCCATCTTCTCTGTATGCGGCCGCATGCAGCTGTGTGTCATCGAAAATGGCTACGCGTGTCAGTGCTGACACACATGTCATAGGTTTACCATCATGGTCATAGTATGACAGGAGTGAGAACAGAAGGCAATAATGGATTTTTAAAATGATTTAAATACTATTTCCCACAGGACAACACCAGAAGCGCAATGATGTGATGTGGCAAGTCCCAAAGGAAGGCGCAACCGCTATCTACTTGCCACACGTAGTAAGATGTTCTTCCTCCAACTAATCTTTAAACTGGACCATTGTGTCCTAAGCAGGCAACTCCTTACCTGTAGACTGATTTTCTTCTGGACTCAAGGATATGGCTTCAAAAGATGGTTGTTCATAAAGGAGAAACTGATAGCGGTGGAAACCACTTTGATATGGCGGGGTGGGTCGGCGGTAATCTGGACACCAGAAATAAAAGGACTGTGGTCAGAGTATGCACTGCATCTATTCTTTTGTATCTCTATCAATAAAAACGTCATGTTCGTTTGTGGGATTAACATAACTCAAAAACCACTGGGCAAATTGACACCAAATTTGGACGCAAGACCCCTCTCAGGCCAACGAGTGACCATCACTCATAAACACACACACACACACACAAACAAGCAGAACTGACTTTAAACCCCCCCCCCCCCCATAAACCATATATAGATATACACTATGCTGTTTGTTAAACAAAGTAGGCTGCTATTTCTTAAGTGGGTGGCTCAGTAAAATTTAACACGTGTGATGAAGTATATGGCCAGTCCACTCAGACTCAGAATTTTCCCAGCATTTACTGCACACTTCAACACGTTTGCTAAATTCCACTGAGTGCTACACTTAAAACCTGGGAAGCCAATCTTATCATCACATTAGTTTGACTCCAAGTGTAGGAGAGAGCATTCTTTGCATATTTCAAGTGTTGGGGCCAGCATTCTTTTCAAACATTTCAAGAGGTGGTGGGGAAGTTGATTTTTGGTTATGATCCGGATGGTTGGCCAATTCTCTAAAGTGATGGCATTTGTTGTTCCCAGGTTTGAAATGAAACATTTTCCCAATTTGTGGGAGGAGCAAAAAGTACCCTTGTTAGGGAAAGTTCCACTATTATCTTTTACTCACCAAATTTTTACTTTAAATATTATTATTATTATTATTATTATTATTATTATTATTATTATTATTATTATGCCATGTCTCCATGCTGTGCAGTCCTGGGAGTCATAGTTTTCCAAGGTCCATACCCTTTTCTTGGTGCATTTACAGGATGGAATAAATGCCCTTGAGATGGAGTCCTCCTGGAAATTATAATTCCCCAAGGTCCATGCCCTTTTCTAAAGATTACAGTTTGATGGTAAATGAACTGAAAGAATGCTGAATACAACCAAATAACACAGATATATTTAACAATGTGATGAAGGTAGGGAAATCATCGGTTTCACTTCAAAACTGAGGATGACTGAGGGTTGTGATGAAGTCCTGGGCTGTTTTCACTTGCTATCCAGATTTATGGATTTGTAGATATGTTCCCATGTCTTCTCTTAAAGTTTTTACTTTAAATGCCATTATTATTATTTTTTTTATTATTATTATTTTTATTATTATTAAGTCCTGGGTTGTTTCAATGTGATGAAGTCCTGGGTTGCTTTCACTTGCTATCCAGATTTATGGATTTGTAGATATGTTCCCATATCTTCTCTTAAAGTTTTTACTTTAAATACCATTATTATTATTATTATTATTATTATTATTATTATTATTATTATTATTATTATTAATGTGATGAAGTCCTGGGTTGCTTTCACMTGCTATCCAGATTTACGGATTTGTAGCTGCGTTCCCATGTCTTCTCTTTTCCTTGTGTTCTTTCACAAGCTTTCACTGCAACCTAACTCTATATTGCTCCACATCCATTTGATTGGATTAGTATATTTCTTCAGACTTTAAGAACGAATGACTTTTCAGGACCAAACAAATCTCCAGGCCCTATTTGGAGAAGGCTTAAAATGTCATTAGGATCCAGTTATGAGTGGAGAAGCAGGTGGAGGCTGGTGATACATCTCACGTTTCCCTACAGAATCCGTGGTCTGAAGATGTAAACTCTGTGCACCTTCTTCCACTCTTCCCGACATTCCCGGTTGCGGATTGGCTCTCTGCCATCCTTTCACAAGCACGCTCTTGTTTCTCCTCCTTTGGAAAAGGCTCCCTTCCACCTCACCTGTTTTTCCCAGGCTTACCTGAGTCCCTCCTCTCTCCAAACTCCACCTTTGGTTACCTCTCTTAACCCATCTCTCCATGGATGGCATCCAAGCCCGGAAGCATTCCCTCAAGGGGTTGCTTAGGTTAGACCAGTTTCTGTCCTTTTCTCATTGCCACATACATACGATCTTCAGACTTTCCCCTCCATAAACCATTTTTTCCTCGGTTAGGCTGATAACATCTTTGACTTTGTGAATGTTTAAAAAGCCATAGTTCCTTCTTTGAGTTTTCATTGCACTTGATCACCCATTTACACACACAGCAGCGCCATGTTCATCCCTCTCTTTGAGGAAGATGTGGCCACAGTTTTACAGCATTAAGAACAACTTCTGAATATGCGAACCAATACCTTGACAAGTGATGATGTGACTTAATGCAGAGCTATTATTTATTTAGTTATTTATCCTATTTATATCCCACCTTTCTCTACCCCAAGGGGGACTCATATGGCTTACATATGGCCATTATTCAATGCCCTAACGTATACAAACAGCATTTAAAATTACATTCAGTGTTAAAATCACGCCATTCAGAAACCGTAGTTTAAGGCCATTCCGTAATGAGTTTGTTGTCGAAGCCTTTCATGGCCAGAATCACTGGATTGTTAGGAGTTTTCCAGGCTGTCTGGCCATGTTCCAGAAGCATTCTCTCCTGACGTTTTGCTTAACATCTTGCTTTATGCTGATGACATGGTGATTTTTTTTAAAAGTTATTTTTATTTAGAACTAGCTTGGGGACCCGGCGCTGCCCGGGTTATTAGAGAAAGTGGGTAATGGCTGTTCTCTATGCCAAGTTTAGTCTTTATTGGTCATTGGATAACGGCTGCATTGTTTTCAGGAAGTGAGTGAAGGTACTTGAAGTCCCATCATCCATGGTCCACCCCCCTCCAAACAGCAGCAGGATATAGAGTGGGTCATGGGGGCTCTGTGTGCCAAGTTTGGTCTTGATCAGTCATTGGCGAGGGTCTCGGTGGTCTCAGGAAGTGAGTGAAGTGACTGCAAGTCCCATCATCCATTGTCAAATTCTTCCAAACCGCACCAGGATGTAGAGTGGGTCATGCGGGCTCTCTGTGTAAATAATTGTGGTCCTGATCCATCATTGTTGGCAGTTGTAATGGTCTTAGGAAGGGAGTGCAGGTATTGCAAGTCCCATCGTCCATGGTGCATCCTCCTCCAAACTGCACCAGGATGTAGAGTGCGTCACGGAGACTCAGTGTGCCAAGTTTGGTCTTTATCGGTAATTGGATGTGGGTTGCAGTGGTCTCAGGAATTGAGCAAAGGTACTGCAAGTCCCATAATCCATGGTCCATCCCCAGCCAAACCACACCAGGGCGTAAAGTGGGTCATGAGAGGTCTATGTGCCAAGTTTGGTCTAGATCAGTCATTGGATGAGGTCAACAGCGGTCTCAGAAAGTGAGTGATGGGACTGGAAGTCCCATCGTCCATGGTCCATCCTCCTCCAAACTGCAGTAGGCTGTAGAGTGGGTCATGGGGCTCTGTGTGCCAAGTTTAGTCTTTATTGGTAATTTTCTGACACAGCATCTGGCCTTTTCCTTTCATCTCTTTGTCCTCTTGGAATCTTGGAATTGAGGCTCGCCAGAGACCATATGCAAATTTCCCTTTGTCATGTCTCCGTTTCTCTCATTAACCGTCTTCGCCACCAGGGGGTCCTGTTGAGGTTGGCCAATCAGAGACCATATGCAAATAGCACCACAGTGGCAGCCAATCAGAAAGCTGCCACAAACATGTCCGCCCTACATCCTACCTACCTCCGTCCTACGTCGCATACAAACTTTGACTTTTATTATATGTATAGACTAGCTTGGGGACCCAGCGCTGCCCGGGTTATTTGAGAAAGGAATTGTGTATCAAAATTGGTCTTTATCAGTTATGTATATGGCTTGCAGTGGTCTCAGGAAGTTAGTGAAGGTACTGCGAGTCCCATCATCTGTGGTCCATCCTCCTCCAAACCTCACCAGAATGTTGAGCTGGCCATGGGGGCTCTCTGTGCCAAGTTTGGTCTTTATTGGTTTTTGGATGAGTGTCGCTGTGGTTTCAGGAAGTGAGTGAAGGAACTGCAAGTCCCATCATCCATCCTACACCGAACAGCACCGGGATGTAGAGTGGGTAGTGGGGTCTCTGTGTGTCAAGTTTGGTCTTGATTGGTTATTAGATGAGGGTTGCAGCAGTCTTGGGAAATGAGTGGAGATACTTGAAGTCCCATCATCCATCGTCCATCCTCCAAACAGCACCAGGATGTAGAGTGGCCCACGGGGGCTCTGTGTGCCAACTTTGGTCTTGATTGGTCATTAGATGAGTGTTGCAGCAGTCTTGGGAAGTGAATGGAGGTACTTCAAGTCCCATCATCCATGGTCCATCATGCTTGAAACAGGATCAGGATGTAGAATGGGTCATGGGGGCTCTGTGTGCCGATTTTGGTCTTGATCCGTCATTGGATGAGGTTCGCAGAGGTCTCAGAATATGAGTGAAAGTACTGGAAGTCCCATCATCCATGATCCATCCTCCTCCAAACACCAGGATGTAGAGTGAGTCATGGGGGCTCTGTGTGCCAACTTTGGTCTTGATCGGTCATTAGATGAGGGTTGAAAAAGTCTTGGGAAGTGAGTGGAGGTACTTCAAGTCCCATCATCCATGGTCCAACCTGCTGGAAACTGCACCAGGATGTAGAGTGGGTCATGTGGGCTCTGAGTGTGAATTGTGGTCCTGATCCATCATTGTTGGCAGTTGTATTGGTCTTAGGATTGTATTGGTCGATTGGTGGTACCTCTCCACTTAAAAAGGATTCCCCCCAGGCAGGAAGCAGCCAGGCTTTGAAGCTGCAAGGCTATTTGATGCTGATCAAGGTGGTCAATTGTGACATTTACACTTGCCTCCAACAGACAAGAGTTCTTTCTCCCACCCTGGACATTATGCCACAGATATATAAACCTCACTTGCCTAGTTTCCAACAGACCTCCCAACCTCTGAGAATGTTTGTCATAGATGCAGGTGAAATGTCAGGAGAGAATGCTTCTGGAACATGGCCATTCAGCTCAGAAAACTCACAGCAACACAATATATGAGTTTTCTTTCTAGCAGGTAGTCCCTGAGGTCCTTGACTTCTCAGATATTCCCTGCTCCTGTCTTAGAAAATGAATGATTGGGAAGCTGCTGAATACATCTAAGGCAATGCCAGGTATGTTGTGGAAAAATACGGCAGAGGAAGGGTTTGTTATTACAATTTTTCATCCCACGCTTCCCCAAAGGAGCTTGGGATGGTTTGCTTCGTTCTTTACTCCGTGTTACTTTTTCAAACTGCGGTCAGGTTGGTGAACCTGAGAGGGAGAGAAGGATTAACCTAAAGTGGCTTAATGGAGATTTGCAATTGGCAATCCTAGTTTGCTTTTTCCACCCATCTGCAAAAATATCTGAGTTCATACTTTCGCCGCATCTGAGTTTGAAGGCATGATTTCCTATGTCTGAAGGAATGGTAAAGCGTATAACCCCTTTGATCATCACCTCCATACCTGAGGATGCCAAGGTACTCCCTAGATTGAAAGGTCTCCAACTATCTAGGTATTTCGGCTTCCATATGTTTACCAGCGCATGATGCACAGGGTGCGCTAGGTACTCAGCAGGTGGAAACTGCATTTAACTCCCGGAGAGCTCAGATTTAAATGCCCTTAAAGACTCAAATCAACCTTAAATGCATTGCTAATAAGGTGACACTCCCCTCCCCTCAACATATGCGAGGTGAAAAAGAGCTTATGGCCCAGAGCCATTCCATGTGCAGATGCTCCCTCGCTGTTCAAAGGCCCAGTTTCAGCCTGAAGGGCATTTCGGATTGGATTCCAGAGAAGGGGATGCGATGCGAAGGGACCACCGGAAAGGCTAACATTCCTTTGTAGCCTCATCACATCAAGAGGAGGACATTAATCTCCCGTTGAACAACACCTCCGGCTGTCAAAACCATTCCGTACATTTGACTTTAATTCACAGCTGATGCGTTTTGATCTACGGCAATGTTCGTCGCTTTCTCCCCATTTGGGACCAAGCTTGCCAAGCGACAAACTGGCTCAACCAGACAAAAACACGGCAAGATCGAACTATTTGTGCTATGTGCAAACATTTTTATGCAGGACTAGCCACGCCCTGCCATGCGTTGCTGTGGCCCAGTCTGTGTATATGTGTTTTGTGTGTGACGAAACAGGAACTGTCCAAAGTTACGCTCTAAGCATAAATCATAGAATCCTAGAATCAAAGAGTTGGAAGAGACCTCCTCCTGGGGCCACTTCATCCATATATTTTCCACCCCTTTCTGCCAGAAACAGGAAGCATTGCATTCATAAGTCAGCCCCATAATAGATGGCTATCCAACCTATTTTAAAGCGTCCAAAGAAGGAGCCCGTCCATCCACACTCCCGCATTTCAGGACTTTCACCATACTTACTTGCTACTATTCTCAATGTTTATTTAGTGTTGTGCATATTAGGGCTGGGCGGTTTCGTTTCGTTAATTCGTAATTCGTTAATAATTCGTTATTTTTTTCAATTACAAAACGATAACGAACCATTCTGGAGCAATTATTAAAAAACGAATTTTCAAAAACGTTTTGTAAATGCTTCGTATTTCGATATTGTATTCGTTTCGTTATTGTTTTGAGGTCGTTTCGTTATTATTTCCGCATGTCTGGGCCAGTTTTATGGTTTAATTAGTGAATAAAAATTATAATATCACACCAACAGTCAACAACAGAGGGAGAGGGAAGCTTCAGAAGGTTTTGGAGGTTTTTTAGCGTATTTCGCGGTCGCGTCCGCCATTAACGAATCGATTCGTTATTGTTTCGGAAATCGATTCGTTAATTTTTTACCATTTACGAAATTTCGGTAAATATCGAACTTTTTAAAAGGAAAATTTTGTAATTATTTTAAATATCGAAACAAAAAAAACCCCAAATACAAATCGATTTTAGAAACAAATTTTTCCGTTGTTACCCAGGAAGTTCTTCCTCATGTTCAGATGGAATCTCCTCTCTTGTAGTTTGAAGCCATTGTTTCGCGTCCTAGTCTCCATGGAAGCAGTAAACAAGCTTGCTCCCTCCTCCCTGTGGCTTCCTCTCACATATTTATATATGGCTATCATATCTCCTCTCAGCCTTCTCTTCTTCAGGCTAAACATGCCCAGCTCCTTAAGCCGCTCCTCATAGGGCTTGTTCTCCAGACCCTTATCATTTTAGTCGCCCTCCTCTGGACACATTCCAGCTTGTCAATATCTCTCTTGAATTGTGGTGCCCAGAATTGGACACAATATTCCAGGTGTGGTCTAACCAAGGCGGAATAGAGCATGGGGAGCATGACTTCCCTGGATCTAGGCACTAGGCTCCTCTTGATGCCTGAGGCCAACATCCCATTGGCTTTTTTGCCGTTGCATCACATTCCTGGCTCATGTTCCCCTTCCTCCCCACGAGGACTCCAAGATCTTTTCCACACGTACTGCCCTTGAGCCAGGCCTCATCGTCCCACATTTTGTATCTTTGCATTTCGTTTTTCCTGCCAAAGTGGAGTATCAAAGCTTCATACATTTAACCCTTACACAACATTACATTTCTATACTGAACAAAGAGCTTTAAACTATAAGTAATATTTAATCTCAGTTAAACAACAGTACTGTGTATGTATATGTTTGTGTATATGAGTATATATGTGGTTTTGTGCATGTATTGTAATGCATTTTTTTTGCTCTTGAAGTCTCTCCCGCTGTGTTTTTCAGTGTTTTTATGAGTGATGGTCACTCGTTGGCCTGAGAGGTGTATTGTGTTCAAATCTGGTGTCAAGCTGTACCTGTCACGCATTGCCGTGGCCAACCTTCCCTCCCTCTTCGTCTCCTTTCTTTCTCTCCTTTCTTTCCCCCCCCCCCTCTTTCCTTCCTTGGTGGCACAATGGGTTAAACTGCTGAGCTGCTGAACGCTGACCAGAAGGTCGGCAGTTCAAATTCACATGATGGGGTGAGCTCCCACTGTTAGCCCCAGCTTCTGCCAACCTAGCCGTTCGAAAACATGCAAATGTGAGTAGATCAATAGGTACCGCCTTGGTGGGAAGGTAAACAGCACTCCGTGCAGTCATGCCGGCCACATGACCTAGGAGGTTTCTATGGACAATGTTGGCTCTTCAGTTTTGTTGGGAATCAGCTTGTGTTTGTGTGTTTCAGGATCCTGATGTGGGAAATGATGAGGGAAATGATGAGAGAAATGATGGTGCTGAGGCTGAGGTATGAGAACCACTGGCTTAGTCAATGATTTTCAGGCAGACAATGACAGAGAGGCCCCAGTGCAAAGGGCAGTTTCTCATGAGAATATTCCTGCTGGGACTAGCAATGATAATTCACTCCCTCTGTCTGTGAGCTCTCAAGATTTGGGTTTGGAAAACAATCTGACACCTGGGAATTTTAATGAGCAGCCAGATAGGGAGCTGAAGAATAGGCGGCTGGAGATTAGCCAGGATCGACAGCAAACTCAGTGTTTACATCGCTCCGAAAGGCTTCGTCTGATAAGGGGGAAATGTGGGGGGAAGCTAAACCAATTTCTGAGTTTTGGGATATAAGGTTTGCCTCAAGGAAACCTGTTAGATCAGGCATCGTTTGGAAATCAAGTTCATGTGCCATGGAAATCCTGTTCAAGGGGTCTTGTTCCTGTGGAGTTTTTTAGCCTTTAGGATTGTCTTTGCATCCTGTTGATTCCTGTCTGGATAAATGCTGTCTTGGATTGCTTTTATATCTGGTGTGGACATTGCTTTGTGTTACTACCTCTCATGGACTTGTTACTTTTTGGAACTTTCTTGCTTTCTTACAAGCATTTATTTCTTCTGGCTATTTACTAAGCTTCAATAAAAGAAGATTTGTTTCTTCACTCTTCGTGTGGTGTGTTTTAAAGTCAGAGGGCTTCTTCCTGACCTGGAGTGCAACAGGCTTAGAACTGGAGATGCGCACCAACCTCCAGAGCCGGAGATGAAAGGGGAAGCCTTTACCTTTATGTGTGTAGCTGTGTTTTGTTGTTCTAGGCTTTGCGTGTTTGTATCTGTATATGCTAGATGCGCCCTGAGTCCCCTTGGGGAGATAGGGTGGAATATAAATAAATTGTTGTTATTGTTGTTGTTGTTGTTGTTGTTGTTGTATTCTTAAGCAAAAGAAAGGTATAGTGCTGCTTTACCTGATAACACGCGGCCTTTCAGCTTGCCATTCTTCAGATCAGCACCCTAAAATGAGACAGAAAATTTGGTGATGTTTATTTATTTTGTTATTTAATACAGTTATATATTGTTTAACCAAAGAATGTACCAGGCACCCATCCTCACAACATTTAGGAAAGACTTGAAGACCTGGTTATTTAAACAGGCTTTTGACCGTGATTAGTCAATCTCTAAGGTATGGATTTACGGTACCTCTGCCTCTGTTAGCTCATATGAACTATTGTGCTTTTAATCTAATATTTATAATTTCCCTATTAATTGTTTTGTTACTTGATTGTGCTGTACCTTGTGTTTATAACATTTGGATGTGTTATTAATTATTTATTCCACTTTATGTATTTTATTGCATTGTACTTATTGTATTATTTATGTTGTAAGCCACCCCGAGTCCCCTGGGGACATTGGCAGGATATAAATAAATGTATTGCTGAAGGCTTTCATGGCTGCAATCACCGGGTTGTTGTAAGTTTTCTGGACAGTCTGGCCATGTTCCAGAAGCATTCTCTCCTGAAGTTTTGCCTACATCTGTGGCAGGCACCCTTATTGGTTGTGAGGTCTGGTTTCTCTTCAGATTGTATAAATCTTTCACCTTTTTCAAAGAAAGAATAATAAGGGATTCAAGGCTAAAACGAAACCCATTTCTGGGCCGCTTGGAACATAGCGTAATTTTTTTTTGTCATGTCAGGAGCGACTTGAGAAATTGCAAGTCGCTTCTGGTGTGAAAGAATTGGCCATCTGCAAGGACGTTGCCCAGGGGACGCCCGGATGATTTGATGTTTTTATCATCCTTGTGGGAGGCTTCTCTCATGTCCCCGCATGAGGAGCTGGAGCTGACAGAGGGAGCTCATCCGCCTCTCCCCGGATAGCGTAATGAGGAGATAAAAGTCCCAAGTATAGGATCTGTAGTCAGATGAAGCATCGTCTGGAATCAAGTCAAGACCTCGTTCCTGTTCTTCGGAAGCCTTGCTTGGAAGGATTCATGTTTAAGTGCCTTTGCTTCATGTTTCTAGTTCTTGGATTTTACTTCCATGTGTTAAGTGCCTTGGATTTGTGTTTCCAGTTTTTGGATTTTACTATAGAAGTTTCTGCCTTTGTTTTTCATGAACTTTGATGGACTTATTTCCTGGACGATTTGCTCCGGCTTATCTTCCTACCTCAATGGATTTACTTATTCCTTTAAAGTGCTTTTTACTACTATGGCTTTTTAAAATAACTTCAATAAACGGATTGTATTTCTACTCAGCTGAGTGGTGTTTAAAGTCAGAGGGCTTTCCTGGTCTGGAGTGCATCATACAGTTACAAGGCAATGTTATCAGTTGCAAACAATTAATTAATTCTGATGTTTTTTTTATTATAGCAAGAGAAGTTTCTTCTTTTTTTCCTAGCTTTTTATTTAACTTTCCCCCCTCCTCAATCCACCTGCCTCACTGTTTGTATCTAACCGGAACAGGAAAGATGGGAAGGGCAAATGTGCTGGTGGGAGGCGCAGTTTACTCACTAATTCATATGTAAAGCGTAATTGTCTTGTACACAGCGGCCCAGCACATTGTAGCGTTCCTTTGAATCGCAGGGTGTGCTGTCACCGTAGCCGAGAGGGATTGACAGGCAGATCAGCTGGACCTGTTATCAGGGCAACAGGTTGCTAGAAGGCGACAAAAGCTTGCTGTAAAAGCCCTGTCACCATTGTGTGTGCGGGAATTCAGGCGGTGGCTAATTAATGTCTTTGGAAAGGCAAAAAGGTCACGGCAGTTCCAGCGGCACATGGGCTGGCAAACCCTGGCAGCAGGTACGCTCTCGGAACGATGCCTTCAAGCCCAGGAAGGGCATCGGGTTTATTTCGGAACTGCATTGTTGTAGGGCGTTCGTCAAGAAAGCTCCAGTCGTGCCAAGGCCGGCCTAGGGCCCTTCATACACGAGGCAAAAAAGTGCTTTTGAGCTTGCCTTCTATTTTTCGTTTCGCATGCACATGCTGTTAAATTAATGCAGAAGAGAACTCAAAAGAAATCTTAAACCTATATGGCCAAAAGAGCCTTTTTGTTTGCAGTAGGTACTGCAATAGGTACCGCTCCGGAGGGAAGGTAACGGCGCTCCATGCAGTCATGCCGGCCACATGACCTTGGAGGTGTCTGTGGACAATGCCGGCTCTTCGGCTTAGAAATGGAGATGAGCACCACACCCCAGAGTCAGACATGACTGGACTTAATGTCTTTACCTTTATCTAGGTACTGAATTTACCCTCATATTTGTAAACAAAAAAAAAGCAATAACACTTTCTGATTTGGGGCTCCCAACGGATGACACTGAAGGCAAGATGGAACTGTCTTCCTGGCCCCTCTCTTCACTCTGATCTCAGAGCAGCGGTTGGCATATCCACACTCTCTTCTGGACTACAGCTCCCATCATCCCCTAGATGAGGCCCTTTCGGAGAGGGGGGTGATCCAAGTGCACTGTTTCCAAGATGCAAGCTTGCTTCTCTTTGGATTTCTTTGAGAACATCCCAATCCCTGAATAGTTCCAATTCCTGGACCGCAACCCCCAGCAATCCTCCAGATAGAGAGATTAGATAGAGATAGATAGGCAGAAAGATAGATGGATCAGGAGGACTGCTGGGAGTTGCTGTCCACAAATCGGTAGAGAAGGAAGAAAGGGGAGAAAGGGGAAGGGAAAGAAAAGGGGGGAAGGAAGGGAAGAGGAAGAGAAGGAAGGAAGAATGAAAGAAAAAAGGGAAGGAAGGAAGGGAAGAGGGAGGGAGGGAAGGAGAGAAGGAAAGGAGGAGAGAAAGAGGGAAGGAAGGTTGGCCACAGCAACGCATGGCGGGTACAGCTAGTACCTGGATTTTAGGGATGTGTGATCCATTAAACATGGTTCAAAAGTCATTACAAAACTGGGGGTGAGGGTGGCACTTTGTTTCTAAAGTGTTTCTAAAGTATAGTTAGTGAAAATGTTGCTACTATAATGACACTATGAAAGTTCATTACTATTTCTGTGCTGGTACAACTGTACTAGGAGCTCCAACTTTATTTTCTTTCTGTTATCTGTTTGCAATCATAGGGCAGGCCACCTGTCCATCATAATTAAGTTTGGTTCCGCCCCTTGTTCAGGGCTCTGGGAGGGAAAGGAGCCATTTTTTGGTCAGTCTCACATAAGGAAGCTAAACTATAGGACGTAGACCAGCTTGTCCCGTAGAAAAYCTTCTTTTCTCAAGAACATCCGGGGAAACAGAAACAGAAATTCCAGGGYAAAGGTCCCAAGGCTCTGGCTGAGAGCTCACAGCCTCTCAGCCTCACAGCAATCAGAGGGAAAACAGCCCTGAAGTTTTCAAAGAATTCTCGGAGGGAGGACAGCACTACAGATCCACAGAAGTCCAGCTAAAATATCTACAAGCCTTGGCTGGTAGGTCTACTCGATACCCAGACGCATTTGGAATCGGTAGTAGGACCCACATTGATGAGGCATAGATAGTAAACAGCCTGGGAGAGGTGAAAAAGGGTTTTTTTCTTAGAGAGAAAGTTCAGTTAATCAAAGTCAGGTGCCAGTCCATTGAGGACTAGACTAAGAAAGCCTTGAAGTGTTGTTTGAACCATTGAAGACTTGTTGTTTGTTCCATAATAAAGACTCTGTTGTATCATGAAAGACTAAAGACCATCACTTCAGAAAAATCCCTGAGAACCTCTCTTTGAGGCGCCCTGGCTTCCCGCTGGGCTTAAAGTAAACGTCCTATAGAAAAGTACAGCTGTTACAGGCCCAGCGCACGACAGAACAATTTCATTACAGTAATTGCAGTAATCACCTCACAACCTCTGAGGATGCTTGCGGCAAAATATCTGGAGAGAATGCTTCTAGAACGTGGACATACAGCCCGAAAAACCTAAAACAACCCAAGTCTGCAAATAATCAGATCTGCAAAAAGTCAAATCCGCAAAAGTGTGGGGCCGACAGTATTCATAACCGGGCTCATGCCTAAGATCAGAGGCCTTGGTTTGACCATTAAGGCTGCGATCCAGCACACACATTTTTAAAAATGAGACTTTTAACTTTCGAGAACAAAACTTGTGTAGGATTTCATTACAAATCTCCGATACTCAAGGAAGGAAACGATGGGGGGACCGTCTGCAAGGTCTCCCTCCTCGCTGGGAGAGATGGGGGGGGGCCCTCATTCCACTTCAATTACCGGCTCCAAACTGCCCGCCTACAGCGGAGGAGCTTCGCGGCCCGTGTTGCTGACTCCGCCTGACCTTGCCAGAGCATGGGTCAGCAGTCCATTCCTGTGAGTGCAAGGAGAGATGATTTAATCTTTTCATTCACTTCTTCCCATTTATCAGGAGGAATAAATCACTTTCCCTTCCCTGCCATGGGGAGGGGGCGGGGGGCGGGGGGGGGGATGGGGCCGGGATTCCCATCTCTTTCTGGAACCCCTTTCATTACAAACATCATTTCTTGCCAATTGGGAGCCGTCGCCTTTTCAGGAATGGCCCGAGGAACATCTTAGTACAACTCCAAACTGCCTAATCGTAAACTATGCCCAATCAAAGAGTGTATCTGTTTATTTTTCAATTGATAACACTGTTCAACGGAGAAAAAGTTGCAGGCCTGAAAATAGTTGTTCTTTTATGATTTTGGAGAGCTGAAAACGAAAATGACATTTTAAAATGTATATTGGCTCTAGTTTTTATGATATAAGCAATCACGTGATCACGTATGGTTGAAAAAATGCATGTTGCGACTTACACTATGGAAGATTCTAGAATACTCTAGAAAGTTTGATGACGCAGTATGAGTGCCGTGTGCAAAAGCCAGAAAGCCCTATATAAGGCCAGACTTTTGAACGGTGAGGGTCAGTCAGTTGAAGACTGAGACAGTCTCGTTAAACATCGTTTTCCATTGTTCTTTTGACTGTAGTTCTGCCTCCTCGCACGTGTGTCAATAAAGCACTATGGAAAAAAGATCTCAAGGCCAATGGACTCCGTCCATGCTGTCAGACTACTGCTGGAGCATTGGAAGAGGGA